AGAGATTGTAGGTAGTGGAGATGTCTTAGCTGAGGTTAGGGCATTGGCTTAAACCAGTAGGAGACTTGGACCTGCCTCGCATGGGCCAGTAGGCTTGTTGCAGTGTTCTTATGAGTAAGAGTAAACGAAGTAAAGCCAGAGGCGGCTACGGGAAAAAGCTCTATTCCACAAGGTGTAGTGCTCGCTCCCGTACTGTTTCTCATCCTAATATCTAACATAGACAGAGATGTAAACACTGTGTCGACCTTCCTTTCACTGCAAACCTCCAAGCAGTCATTTACCAAATCTTTAAATTGGCCGCAGAAAACAATGTGAAGTTCATTGAAGACAAATTTCAATTCCTCTGTTACGAAAAACTCGAGGAAATAAAATCTGTATCGTACAATAAAACAAATTCCAACCATACAATAAAACGAAAAACTAATGTGAAGGACCTGGGAGTGATAATGTTAAAGAACCTCATTTTCAATGATCATAACAATGTATTTACCACATCTAGAAAAATAATAGGATATATAATTAGAGTTATGCAAACCAGGCCAGAATATTGCTGTACACTAACAGACCCTTTCAAGGCAGACAAAACTGCAGGCCTGGAGAATGTACAGAAAACTTGTATGGCATGTAAAGTACAATTCAGCACCTAAAGTACTGGAAACAGTCGGAGTCCCTTGATTTGTACTTCTTGCAATGCAGGAGAGAAAAATACACAAAAATATATACCTGGAAATTCTTAAGAGGGACTAGTACCAAATCTGCAAATGAAAATCACTCCCTATGAAAGCAAAAGATTAGGCAGGAGACGCAGCATCATCAACTTCCTCCCTGGCTGACTTCGAGAAGGCACTGAGCAGCTGGGCTGTGGTTCATATGTCAGTTTACATGCAGCCAGTAGTACCAGCCTGATTGATCAGGCCCTGATCCAATGCAAGGCCTAATCACATTCTGGACCATGGTGGCATTGACCCCTGAAACCCCCTCCGGGTATACTCCAAGAAAATTTCTTTTCATAAACAGAAAATGGGTCTAAGGGAAACAGGAAGATGGAAACAGTTCTATTTCCAGAATGTGACCCACTTCACTGTTAGGTACACGCTGGTTTATGCATAAAGGTGAGTGGGAGTAACAGAACCTGAGTGCTACTCTGTTCATCAGTGCTGAACTGTATTTACAACAGTACAATGAGTTCATGTAGGAATTCAGCTTCAGACTGTGTACAAAGTCTTCAGCTACAAAGTATTTCTTTCATTAATGAACGTTTATCATGTTTTGTGACTACTGATTCGATTTTTTTTTCTAGCCAATAGGAGCAGGGAGCAATGACTCTGGCTTCTGACCAGTTGGTTTCATTATCTTGTCATTACTTTTCTGGCACCTGTGACTAATCTGCTTGATACCATCTCATTCTAGTGAGAGTCGTATCGCTGAATGAATCTGCCTGGACTTCCAACTCATTTCTGCAATATTGCAAGATCCTGAAGATATGTTGATTACAACACAAAAGGCCTAGAGCTATCATTCAATTTCCTCCAAGGTTGTTTTGCATTGTGTATCCCTTGTTTGCGATTACTGCATAATGAATACCACTTGCTGAACTCTTATACCAATTCCCATGGCATTTCCCTCCTCCTTTAATAATAATAATATTTTTCTTTACTACATGTACATGTACAACTACAAGTACATGTACATGGTATACAGTCCTAGCTGATAACAATGACATACTACTATATAGAAAGTCCCTTGTTATGCTCAGCATTTCGGGCAAATTAGGTCAGTGTCCCAGGATGCGACCCACACCAGTCGACTAACACCCAGGTACCCATTTTAATGATGGGGAACATAGACAACAGGTGGAAAGAAACACGTCCAATGTTTCTACACTGGCTGGGAATCGAACCCAGGCCCTCACCGTGTGAAGCGAAAGCGTTAACCACCAGGCCACCAGAGCCCTCTATTTTCCCTAACAAATCACTCCTTAAGGCCCATAAAGCGTCAATAAAATTAGTGTTTACGAAAGAGCCTTGAACAGGTATTACCAAAATAGCTTCTGCTTCACAGGTTTGTAATTACTTTGAATATTGATCTGTTAAAACACGAAAGGAGAATGTTACTTACTGAAGGGAGAAAGACCAAAGAAATATCCAGCAGCATGATAGCACTCGAGTGGCAAGATCATTTATCAGATTACATATATTGGGGACTGAGAATAATGTTTATATGCAAGAAAATTAAACAACCTCATGAATAAAGTGGTTGATTCCAACATGGAAACCCGAATTTCGGTATAAATCTGGGATCAATAGACAGTGCTAGGATGTGGGTTATGTTTCACGCCTACTAGCTGGAACACTAATATTGTTGACCTTGTCAAGTCTTTTTGCAATCTGGTAAAACAAAGGGAACCATCCACGGAAGCCTTTATTATTTGCAAAGACACGGTACATGAGCTTTGCTCAGACCTGTTGAATCGAATTGTCTTCAAAGATTTGTTGAGTCATACCATGAATTATGGAAAAATCGTAGAAAGCAGAGAAAGCAAATGTGATAATTATTATGAATGAGGTAGGTTATAGTGGAGAATTACTTGTTATTTGAAGACAGGGAAACATATGCCTCCCTTGATAATAATCCTTTTGCCCAGGTTAGTAGCAAATTTAATAAACAACTTAGAACCTTACTGAGACTGGCTCGTACGATGGTTTGCGTGCAGCCAGCAGCAACAGCCTGGTTGATCAGGCTCTGATCCACCAGGAGGCCTGGTCACTGACCGGGCCGCGGGGGCGTTGACCCCCGGAACTCTCTCCATGTAAACTCCAGGTAAACTCCAGGTAAACTCCAGAGGTAATGAGAAACTTATTAAACACATGTCAGTCAGGTCGGCGACGGTTTGTTTATAACCCATAAGGCAGGTTGTCCAGGAAGACGTATTATTATCTCTGTGGGGTTGGCGACATATATCCTGTCAACATGGTTGGTAAAAATATTAACTTAAATGTTTGGCAACATCTCTGTAACCTACGTAAAACACAGTGTTGACCTGATTGACAACATCTCTGTAACCTACGTAAAACACAGCGTTGACCTGATTGACAACATCTCTGTAACCTACGTAAAACACAGTGTTGACCTGATTGACAACATCTCTGTAACCTACGTAAAACACAGTGTTGACCTGATTGACAACATCTCTGTAACCTACGTAAAACAGCGTTGATCTGATTGACAACATCTCTGTAACCTACGTAAAACACAGTGTTGACCTGATTGACAACATCTCTGTAACCTACGTAAAACACAGTGTTGACCTGATTGACAACATCTCTGTAACCTACGTAAAACACAGTGTTGACCTGATTGACAACATCTCTGTAACCTACGTAAAACACAGTGTTACCTGATTGACAACATCTCTGTAACCTACGTAAAACACAGTGTTGACCTGATTGACAACATCTCTGTAACCTACGTAAAACAGCGTTGACCTGATTGACAACATCTCTGTAACCTACGTAAAACACAGTGTTGACCTGATTGACAAATTGCAAAATGTTGACATATCTAATAATTATATACTAGTAAGTTTGGACGTCACGACGTTGTTCACCAGACCTCCTGTTCTATCTGTTATCTTATCTGGAAGAAGAATTAGAGAAGATCCTCATGTCGTCCGATAAGAATATTTTTACGGAGTTGATTAAGTTGTGAGTAGTTGATTGTAAGTTTGAGTTTGAAGGGGAATATTACCCTCAAAGGCAGGGAATGGCTATGGAAAACCCTTTGTTACTCCTATTAAGTAATCTGTATAATGGGTTTGTCGAGGCGAGGCTGTTGCAAGACATCCTGCCCCGTGAAGCTTAATACTTCGTATATGTAGATGACATCTTGTGTCTTTAACCGAGTGATATGGAACTGGAGACATTTATACTGAGACTTATTAACCGTCTGGTCCCGTTTGTTAGAGTTACAGTAAAGAAAGTAGTTGAACCTAAATTTCTATTCTTAGATGTTTTGATGCACCTGGAGTTTATCTAAAGTTTACCTGGATTTTACCTGGAGAGGGTTTCGGGGGTCAACGCCCCAGCGACTCGGTTTGAGACCAGGCCTCATGGTGGATCAGGGTTTGATCAATAAGGCTCTTACTGCTGGCCGCACACAAGCTGACGTACGAACCACAGCCCGGTTGGTCAGGTACTGGCTTTAGGTGCCTGTCCAGTGCCTTCTTGAAGACAGCCAGGGGTCTACTGGTATGCAGTTGAACAATCTTGGGCCCCGGACACTTATTGTGTTGTCTTTTAATGTACTCGTGGTGCCTCTACTTTTCATCGGGGGATGTTGCATCTCCTACCGAGTCTTTTGCTTTCATAGGGAGTGATTTTCGTGTGCAGGTTTGATAATAAGTTCATTAATGTTTGTTCAGATATTCACTACTGTTCAAACCACATGTCAGGAATAAAAATGAGTGTCATTCTTACTGTATTGTTGAGAGCTTAATGAGTGTCCATCCCAGTGAGCAAGTTAGGAAAATATTTGATATTGAGATGAAATTGCAATATCCTAAGGATCATGTTCGTAGAATGAGTGGCTGCTGGCTAGGAAAAGTTATAGAAGTGAGCCTCTGGTAACACCTCAGATTAAGAATGTTCTCGTTCTCCAATACAATGAGAATTTATCTGTCCTGCAAAATGCCCTACAAGTAGTTTTTAAGAATTTATGGATTGTTAAAAAGTTTTGATAAAGAATTCCCCTCAACAGTGTGTTAGTAGTGTCTACAGGATCAGTTACAATGGATGCAACTTATCTTACGTGGGACAGACCGGCCAACCTCTAAATGTCTCGATAACACAAAACTAATATTCGATATGAATTGTACAAGAATCAAAAGCAATTTTCAATCACACAAGGGCCTGCAATATCTCTGCAAATTGGTCAAAGCCAGAGTCGACTTTGTCGAAAGCCAAGTCGTACTTTGGTCAGAAGCCATAGTCGTACTTTGTCAGAAGCCAGAGTCGTACTTTGGTCAGAAGCCAAAGTCGTACGTTGTCAGAAGCCAGAGTCGTACTTTGGTCAAGCCAGAGTCGTACTTTGGGTCAGAAGCCAGAGTCTACTTGTCAGAACCAGAGTCGTACTTTGGTCAGAAGCCAGAGTCGTACTTTGGTCAGAAGCCAGAGTCGTACTTTGGTCAGAAGCCAGAGTCGTACTTTGGTCAGAAGCCAGAGTCGTACTTTGGTCAGAAGCCAAGTCGTACTTTGGTCAGAAGCCAGAGTCGTACTTTGGTCAGAAGCCAAAGTCGTACTTTGGTCAGAAGCCAAGTCGTACTTTGGTCAGAAGCCAGAGTCGTACTTTTGGTCAGAAGCCAGAGATCGTACTTTGGTCAGAAGCCAGAGTCGTACTTTGGTCAGAAGCCAGAGTCGTACTTTTGGTCAGAAGCCAGAGTCGTACTTTGGTCAGAAGCCAGAGTCGTACTTTGGTCAGAAGCCAGAGTCGTACTTTGGTCAGAAGCAGAGTCGTACTTTGGTCAGAAGCCAAAGTCGTACTTTGGTCAGAAGCCAAGTCGTACTTTGGTCAGAAGCCAGAGTCGTACTTTGGTCAGAAGCCAAGTCGTACTTTGGTCAGAAGCCAAAGTCGTACTTTGGTCAGAAGCCAGAGTCGTACTTTGGTCAGAAGCCAGAGTCGTACTTTGGTCAGAAGCCAGAGTCGTACTTTGGTCAGAAGCCAGAGTCGTACTTTGGTCAGAAGCCAGAGTCGTACTTTGGTCAGAAGCCAGAGTCGTACTGTTGGTCAGAAGCCAGAGTCGTACTATTGGTCAGAAGCCAGAGTCGTACTTTGGTCAAAGCCAGAGTCGTACTTTGGTCAGAAGCCAGAGTCGTACTTTGGTCAGAAGCCAAAGTCGTACTTTGGTCAGAAGCCAGAGTCGTACTTTGGTCAGAAGCCAGAGTCGTACTTTGGTCAGAAGCCAGAGTCGTACTTTGGTCAGAAGCCAAAGTCGTACTTTGGTCAGAAGCCAGAGTCGTACTTTGGTCAGAAGCCAGAGTCGTACTTTGGTCAGAAGCCAGAGTCGTACTTTGGTCAGAAGCCAGAGTCGTACTTTGGTCAGAAGCCAGAGTCGTACTTTGGTCAGAAGCCAAGTCGTACTTTGGTCAGAAGCCAAGTCGTACTTTGGTCAGAAGCCAGAGTCGTACTTTGGCCCAGAAGCCAGATTCGTACTTTGGTCAGAAGCCAAAGTCGTACTTTGGTCAGAAGCCAGAGTCGTACTTTGGTCAGAAGCCAGAGTCGTACTTTGGTCAGAAGCCAGAGTCGTACTTTGGTCAGAAGCCAGAGTCGTACTTTGGTCAGAAGCCAGAGTCGTACTTTGGTCAGAAGCCAGAGTCGTACTTGGTCAGAAGCCAAGTCGTACTTTGGTCAGAAGCCAGAGTCGTACTTTGGTCAGAAGCCAGAGTCGTACTTTGGTCAGAAGCCAGAGTCGTACTTTGGTCAGAAGCCAAAGTCGTACTTTGGTCAGAAGCCAGAGTCGTACTTTGGTCAGAAGCCAGAGTCGTACTTTGGTCAGAAGCCAGAGTCGTACTTTGGTCAGAAGCCAGAGTCGTACTTTGGTCAGAAGCCAGAGTCGTACTTTGGTCAGAAGCCAAAGTCGTACTTGGTCAGAAGCCAGAGTCTTTACTTTGGTCAGAAGCCAGAGTCGTACTTTGGTCAGAAGCCAGAGTCGTACTTTGGTCAGAAGCCAGAGTCGTACTTTGGTCAGAAGCCAGAGTCGTACTTTGGTCAGAAGCCAGAGTCGTACTTTGGTCAGAAGCCAGAGTCGTACTTTGGTCAGAAGCCAAAGTCGTACTTTGGTCAGAAGCCAGAGTCGTACTTTGGTCAGAAGCCAGAGTCGTACTTTGGTCAGAAGCCAAAGTCGTACTTTGGTCAGAAGCCAGAGTCGTACTTTGGTCAGAAGCCAGAGTCGTACTTTGGTCAGAAGCCACAGTCGTACTTGGTCAGAAGCCAGAGTCGTACTTTGGTCAGAAGCCAGAGTCGTACTTTGGTCAGAAGCCAGAGTCGTACTTTGGTCAGAAGCCAGAGTCGTACTTCATTGCTACTCTTTGGTTTGGCAAAACAATCTACTTTGGAATAAAGCAATAAGCTGAATAAAGTTATATTAAAGCCATTGTAAATTGTGGACCAGAGCATCTACCTGTAGTGTCGTAATTTGGTAGCCATACTGACGAACTGAGTAGCCACAGTTCTCTGCTCCACTCTACTTGTACTGAAGCAGCATCTCATTCTGCTGTCTCACTCATACTGGAGAATAAACACTCAAGTTCTGCTGCCTAAACTCATACTGAGAATCAGTAGCACTAAGTTCAGAGCCTACTCACCCTTATGGTAAACCACAACTTATCTCAGGTAAGTTGGATCTCCCTTTGGGAATAGAACGATTGTATTTCCTCTTGTTGATACTTAGACTTATTTTCTAAGATAACACAGTTTGTCTACTGACAGATTCCAGAAACTTTTAGATTGTACTGATATTATAAAAAGATATAAGATATTATAAGATATTATAAGATATTATAAGATATTATAGATATTATAAGATATTATAAGATTAAAGATATATTAAGATATTAAAGATATTTATAAGATATTATAAGATATTATAAGATATATAAGATATTATAAGATATTATAAGATATTATAAGATATTATAAGATATATAAGATTATAAGATATTATAAGATATTATAAGATATTATAAAAATAGATATTATAAGATATTATAAGACATTATAAGATATAAGAATATTATAAGATATTATAAGATATTATAAGATATTATAAGATATTATAAGATATTATAAGATTATATTATAAGATATTATAAGATATTATAAGATATTATTTATAATTATAAGATATAAAGATATTATAAGATATTATAAGATATTATAAGATATTATAAGATATTATAAGATATTATAAGATATTATAAGATATTATAAGATATTATAAGATATATTAAGATATTATAAGATTTATAAGATATTATAAGATATATAATATTATAGATATTATAAGATATTATAAGATATAAGATATTATAAGATTTAAGTATTATAAGATATTATAAGATATTATAAGAATTATAAGATTATAAGATATTATAAGATATTATAAGATATTATAAGATATTATAAGAATTTAAGATATAAAGATATTATAAGATATATAAGATATTAAAGATATTATAAGATATTATAAGATATTATAAGATATTATAAGATATTATAAGATATTATAAGATATTATAAGATATTATAAGATATTATAAGATATTATAAGATATTATAAGATATTATAAGATATAAGATATTATAAGATATTATAAGATATTATAAGATATTATAAGACATTATAAGATATAAGATATTATAAGATATTATAAGATATTATAAGATATTATAAGACATTATAAGATATAAGATATTATAAAGATATTATAAGATATTAAATAAGATATTATAAGATATTTATAAGATAATTTATAAAGATTATAAATATTATAAGATATTATAAGACATTTATAAGATATAAGATATTATAAGATATTATAAGATATTATAAGATATTATAAGACATTATAAGATATAAGATATTATAAGATATTATAAGATATTATAAGATATTATAAGACATTATAAGATATAAGATATTATAAGATATTATAAGATATTATAAGATATTATAAGATATTATAAGATATTATAAGATATGTAAGTAAGTAAGTTTATTCAGGTATACACAAATACAGTTACATAGAATTATCATACATAGCAGCATATGTGTAGAGAACCTAGGATAACCCAAAAAAGTCAGACACACTGACTTATTTCCATTGGGGTCCTTTTTCCTTATTATTATAATATAAAGGTTATAATATTTTCTTATTATTCTACAATGAAGATAACATCTTATTATCATACTAAAAAGACTATCTACTACACGAGGGTCATTAAGACTATCTACTACACGAGGGTCATTAAGACTATCTACTACACGAGGTCATTAAGACTATCTACTACACGAGGGTCATTAAGACTATCTACTACACGGGTCATTAAGACTATCTATACACGAGGGTCATTAAGACTATCTACTACACGAGGGTCATTAAGACTATCTACTACACGAGGGTCATTAAGACTATCTACTACACGAGGGTCATTAAGACTATCTACTACAACGAGGGTCATTAAGACTATCTACTACACGAGGGTCATTAAGACTATCTACTACACGAGGGTCATTAAGACTATCTACTACACGAGGGTCATTAAGACTATCTACTACACGAGGGTCATTAAGACTATCTACTACACGAGGGTCATTAAGACTATCTACTACACGAGGGTCATTAAGACTATCTACTACTCGAGGGTCATTAAGACTATCTACTACACGAGGGTCATTAAGACTATCTACTACACGAGGGTCATTAAGACTATCTACAATACGAGGGTCATTACTAAGAATAAGGTAAAATTTACACGTATGTTAGCTAAAAAATAGAAAATCATTCCCCTCCCTTTCTGTAGCTACATTCATCAGACACCTTTTGGCACTCTTCTTGAACTGGTTCATGCTATGACTGGCTTTGACATGTGCGGGTAGTCTGTTCCATTCCTTTATTGCTGTACAATAAAAGGTGTTTGAAGCCTGGCCACTGACTGTGGGTTCTACAAAGTTGTGTTCTCTCCCCCTAGTGCTATGATTGCTGCGGTTCCCAACCTTGACAAAATTGACAGCAAGATATTCTGGACACTGTTCGTGAGCAATTTTATAAACATGATTTAGCTTCAGTTGTTTTACTATGTCTTCAACATTCAGCATTTCCAACTGCTGTAATTCATCCAGGCCTATATTATAAGATAGAAGATATTATAAGATATTATAAGATATTATAAGATATGGTGTCTGAAAACATGTTGGTAATATTTGACGTGTCACTAATGTTGTAGTCGCGAGGTTATTATTAAATATTTAATGTTGACAGGCTTGTATATGCTTTCTACTGCTACTGCTTTAATATTGTACGTTCATCTTTCTGGCACCTGGCACTGCTCTGCTTGATGCTATCTTTCTGGCACCTGGCACTGCTCTGCTTGATGCTATCTTTCTGGCACCTGGCACTGCTCTGCTTGATACCATCTTTCTGGCACCTGGCACTGCTCTGCTTGATGCCATCTTTCTGGCACCTGGCACTGCTCTGCTTGATGCCATCTTTCTGGCACCTGGCACTGCTCTGCTTGATTGCATCTTTCTGGCACCTGGCACTGCTCTGCTTGATGCCATCTTTCTGGCACCTGGCACTGCTCTGCTTGATGCCGTCATTCTGGCACCTGGCACTGCTCTGCTTGATGCCATCTTTCTGGCACTTGGCACTGCTATGCTTGATGCCATCTTTCTGGCACCTGGTACTGCTCTGCTTGATGCCATCTTTCTGGCACCTGGCACTGCTCTGCTTGATGTCATCTTTCTGGCACCTGGCACTGCTGTGCTTGATGCCATCTTTCTGGCACCTGGCACTGCTCTGCTTGATGCCATCTTTCTGACACCTGGCACTGCTTTGCTTGATGCCATCTTTCTGGCACCTGGCACTGCTCTGTTTGATGCCATCTTTCTGGCACCTGGCACTGCTCTGTTTGATGCCATCTTTTTGGCACCTGGCACTGCTTTGCTTGATGACATCTTTCTGGCACCTGGCACTGCTCTGCTTGATGCCATCTTTCTGGCACCTGGCACTGCTCTGCTTGATGCCATCTTTCTGGCACCTGGCACTGCTTTTCTTGATGCCATCTTTCTGGCACCTGGCTCTGCTCTGCTTGATGCCATCTTTCTGGCACCTGGTACTGCTCTGCTTGATGCTATCTTTCTGGCACTGCTTTGCTTGATGCTATCTTTCTGGCACCTGACACTGCTCTGCTTGATGCTATCTTTCTGGCACCTGGCACTGCTTTGCTTGATGCCATCTTTCTGGCACCTGGCACTGCTCTGCTTGATGCCATCTTTCTGGCACCTGGCACTGCTCTGCTTGATGGCATCTTTCTGGCACCTGGCACTGCTCTGCTTGATGCCATCTTTCTGGCCCCTGGCACTTCTCTGCTTGATGCCATCTTTTTGGCACCTGGCACTGCTCTGATTGATGCCATCTTTCTGACACCTGGCACTGCTTTGCTTGATGCCATCTTTCTGGCACCTGGCACTGCTCTGCTTGATGCTATCTTTCTGGCACCTGGCACTGCTCTGTTTGATGCCATCTTTCTGGCACCTGGCACTGCTCTGTTTGATGCCATCTTTTTGGCACCTGGCACTGCTTTGCTTGATGCCATCTTTCTGGCACCTGGCACTGCTCTGCTTGATGCCATCTTTCTGGCACCTGGCACTTCTTTGCTTGATGCCATCTTTCTGGCACCTGGCACTGCTCTGCTTGATGCCATCTTTCTGGCACCTGGCACTGCTTTGCTTGATGCCATCTTTCTTGCATCTGGCACTGCTCTGCTTGATGCCATCTTTCTGGCACCTGGCACTGCTCTGTTTGATGCCATCTTTTTGGCACCTGGCACTGCTTTGCTTGATGCCATCTTTCTGGCACCTGGCACTGCTGTTTGATGCCATCTTTCTGGCACCTGGCACTGCTCTGTTTGATGCCATCTTTTTGGCACCTGGCACTGCTTTGCTTGATGCCATCTTTCTGGCACCTGGCACTGCTCTGCTTGATGCCATCTTTCTGGCACCTGGCACTGCTCTGCTTGATGCCATCTTTCTGGCACCTGGCACTGCTTTTCTTGATGCCATCTTTCTGGCACTTGGCTCTGCTCTGCTTGATGCCATCTTTCTGGCACCTGGTACTACTCTGCTTGATGCTATCTTTCTGGCACTGCTTTGCTTGATGCTATCTTTCTGGCACCTGACACTGCTCTGCTTGATGCCATCTTTCTGGCACCTGGCACTGCTTTGCTTGATGCCATCTTTCTGGCACCTGGCACTGCTCTGCTTGATGCCATCTTTCTGGCACCTGGTACTACTCTGCTTGATGCTATCTTTCTGGCACTGCTTTGCTTGATGCTATCTTT